AACGGATTGATCCCTTTTACAAAAGATTGATCCCTTGAGGAAAAGGATAGATCTCTTCACCAAAAGGATTAATCCCTCAATGAAAAAGATCGATCCCTTTCTTGTAACAGTCAAATTATTTGGAAAAGAATTGATCCCTTGTGCATTAAATGTTGTTTTTGGTTGTAGGTAACGACTATAATGATCCCCAACGGCTCCAAACGATTAGAATTAATGGAGAAGGTATAAATTGAAGTTCAAAGCTTCTCAAGGTCAACAAGAAATATATTGATCCAATCTACCAACAGGAAAGTTTTGTTTTTTTGCTTAATTTGTCATATTCTTTCTTGTAAACACACTTGTGAGCTTCATTGTTTATTTTGCTCAAGTGTGATTCGGGTGAGAGCTTAATTAGTGCAAATACATTTGCCTTGTGAGGTTTTCTCTTTGTTTGCTTCATTTGTAATTCCCCTTGTGGAAATAAAGTAAATACAGTTTTGGGGTATAAACCTTGTAGGTTGTTGTAAGTTTACACCTTGTTCTCAAAGGTAAGCAAATCTAGTGGATTAGGGAAATCCTTAGTGTGGATGTTAATGTAGTGGATGTAGACTTTGGTCGAGAAAGTTAAACCACTCTAAATCAGTATGCAAATTTATCTTTCGATTGCTTCCACCGAAATTCTTAAAAGGCCAATTCACCCCCTCTTGGCATCATTTGGTTGATCGATAAAGCTAACACAAGGCCATGCATATCATATTTTGTGTATTAGGCCTCGATGAGTATAGTATAGTGTCTTCTTGCTCAATTGCAAAAGAGATTTGGGACAAGCTTGAAGTCACACATGAGGGTACAACTCAAGTGAAGAAATCAAAAATTGGAATTCTCACACTTAATTATGAGAATTTCAAAATGAAGGTCGATGAAGACATCAAGACCATGTCAGATCATTTTATAGCCATCATCAAAGAGTTAAAGGCATTTGGGAAATTCTACACCAATGAAAAAAATTATGAAATTTTTTTCTCAATATGTAATACCCCAAATATCAAGTTAGGGACTTTATTGAAAAGATTTAAGAATTTGAGGATTTATTTAAAATAAGACAAAAGAATGAGAAAATAATTTGGAATAATATTTTAGACTAAATTGCAACAATAGATGAATAAAGAAGGCATTTTGGTCCTTTAAAGGGAAAAAGAATTTAAAATTCAATTTTAATAAGGCATTAAAGTAAAGGAAAAAGGGGAAAGTAAGTTAACCAAAAGCCATCTATTTTATTCTTCTTTCCCGTGGAAGAGCTATCCTCCACAACCAAAGGTAAGGTTTCATTTGGCTAGTTTTTCCTTTTGTTTTTGGTTGTTTTTTGAATCATGGAGTAATATAGAGGCTTAAGGAAGGGTTAAACAAGATTAAAACTAAGAGATGGATGAAATATTTGAGATTTAGGAAAATGAGTTTTTGAATGATTTATTCAGATATGAGTTTATATTGATGCTTACTAGTATATTTGACTTGTTAGTGAAGTAGATAAGAGATTAGAAGCATTGAATGTGTTTAAAAACATGTTAGAAAAAGTGGTATGATTCTTGGATTGAAGTGTTCTTTAGAGATTGTAGATGTTATAAGTAGCCAAATGAAGGAAAGTTAGTTGGGATTAGTAAAAAAGAGTTTGATAGTGTTGTTGGAGGTAAAAATAAGGGAAATTGACCAAATGTGGGTAAATATCGGGCTGAAAATGAAAAATCTGGGTAAGGATATCAGTACTGGAAGAACAGTACCGATATTATAGGCTTAAATTGGAAGAAATCAGCTGAACAGTATCGATACTGATACAATTAGTATCGATACTTAAGTGGGTATCGATACCATGAGGAAGGTATCAATACCATTGATTTACAGAATGCAGAAATGGTATCGATACTGTAATATAGTATCGGTACCATATTATAGACGTATCGGTACTAAGAGACAAATACTGATACCATAGATTCAGAATATAGAAATGGTATCGATACTGAAGGGGAGTATCGGTACCACATTATAGAAGTATCGATACTATTGAACTAGAAATTTTAAGATGGCCTGAGATTGTTATAGAAAATTTAATAATAGTACTTGTGAGTATTGTTTAAGTATAAATGTTAGGGAATATACTAACATTTGATATTGTACATGTCTTTGATGGATGGTTGAATAGATCGAAATTAAACTCCCGAGTCAAGGAAAATGAAAGGCAAAGTAGCTAAGTAATCAGATTTACATTTTGGATATAATAGCGAGGCAATCCAGGTGAGTGTATTTATTATGTACATATATGTGATGATAGTCATAGATTCATGTTGCTCAATATATGTATGGTGATTACCGAATGACACTATTCGTGAAAACTAAGAAATTCATAATAAGTTTATGAATTTCCGTATGGGCAAAGTGTGTGCAAAACTAAGAAATTCATAATAAGTTTATGAATTTTTGTATGGGCATTGTGTGTGAAAAAACTAAGAAATTCATAATAAGTTTATGAATTTCCGTATGGTCAATGTGTGTGTAAAACTAAGAAATTCATAATAAGTTTATGAATTTCCGTATGGGCACTGTGTGTGCAAAACTAAGAAATTCATAATAAGTTTATGAATTTCCGTATGAGCACTGTGAGTGTAAAACTAAGAAATTCATAATAAGTTTATGAATTTCCGTATTGGTAGTGGGTGTGCAACTTACGTAAATTATAGTAAGTTGAGAAATTACTGTATTGGCGCTACAAGTGTAAGATATAGAGTGTATAATGAAATGAAAGAGTTAATGGATATTAGAATTTTCATGATATACTTGTGGTTAGAATTTTGCTTATGATTATATATGCCTCACTAAGAAATTTCTTAGCGTATGTTAATTTCATGCATAGGTGTTAATACAAGTGGAGTAGAGAGATCATCTAACTTCACAAAGCAAGGGTCGCCTCATCAGTAACTGTATGACATCCATGTCTACTTTTGATTTATTTAGTTGGCATGTAATAGACTTAGTAAAAACGCTCTGAAAAGTGTTTTATTTACTACGATGTAAAAATATGAAATGTTTGAATATTACTTTTTGTTTTACCTACGTAAGTTGAATGAATGTTTTATTGTCACTAAATTAAAATGTTTTATAAAAATAAACGAATTTTTACAGGTATTCAAACAATGAAACGTTTTTAAAATGATGTGACATCTATATCTCGTGTACGAAAAAGTATACGGAAGATGGTTGTTACATAATAGCTTGTCATTGGCTTGGGAATCCAAGAGGACATATATTGAGGAAGCCAAGGAATTGGAAGTTCTTACACTTGATGAGCTCATTGGGTCTCTTCTCACCCATGAGATAATACTCATGAATGAGGAAGAGAAAAACGAGGAGAAGAAGAAAGTTGGGATTGCTCTCAAGTCCACCAAGGAAGAGAGTTATTCTAGTGAGAAAAAAGATGAAGAAGTGACAATGTTTTCCAAAAGATTTAGAAGATTCATGAAGTCCAATAAAGGAAGAAGATTTCAAATAAATGAGGGCTTCAAGAATAAATCTAAGGAGAATGACCCCACCATTTGTTATGAGTGCAAGAAACCATGACATATCAAGTTTGAGTGTCCTTAATTAAAGAAGAAGAGGTCAATCAAGAATGTACAAAAGGCGTATGTAGCTACATGTATTGAAGAAGAATGCTCCCAAGAAGAAGAACAAGAAGTTTCAAACTTGGGTCTTATGCCCATCGAGGGAGAAACTAAAGTAACCTTTAGTTCATCCAATTTAAATTAATATTCTTTTGATGAACAACAAATGAATTGGCCTTAGAACTTGAGATCATGTTTTCAAAGAATAAGAAAAATATTTAAAAAATGAAAAATGAAAGTGATCTCTTACCTAAGACCAATAATGTAACTTACTTTCTAAGGTTCATGATGATCATCAAAGGGAACTTGATGATCTGAAGGCTTCTTTTAACAAGGTTGGGTCAAATTTCTAAATCCAACTACGTTAAAAATAACTTTAGATAATACAAACATAGAGGTCCCCAAAGAACCTCTAATGAGAAAGTTGTTAGAAGCATATGGGTTCACAAAGGACTCATTGCTACTAAGGACAATAATATCCTAGAAAAATGTATTTACTTAAGGGACTAGATTATTGGGAACTAATGGTTATTGATCCAAAAGAATTTGGGTACCAAAAATAAAAAATTAATCTATATTTGTAAGTGGAGGAGCATTGCTACAACGCCCAAAATGTAAGCGCAAATTCATGATACATTGATAGTGGATGTTCAAGACATATGTGTAATACCCTAATTTTGTCCGAACAATTCAAGCTAGTTTCAAGGTGATCAAATAATAATTTGAAGTTGTTTATGAGTTGATATCGAATTATTTAAGTGATATTGGTGGCATGAAAAGAAAATGGTTCATGAATTTTCTACATTTGGTTAACCAAAGCACGAAGAAATTTTTGATGTTTGATTGGGTTAAAATTGATCACTGATTAGATTCGAATAAAAATAAATAAAGCCCAATTATGTTTAAAACCCAGTCCAAATTACAAGGCCAAAATACACCAAATGCCACATTAACCAACCAATTAGCCCATTACCTGAGCCCTATCGATTGAAAGCCCTAATATCAATCATTATAAGCTCATGTCGACCCCAAACTTCATCCCTTGGATCATTTTCAATCAATGCTCAAGATCTTGCACGACTAGGGTTTGTGAAATTCTAACCCCCTTCATGTCTCAGCCGCCAGCAGTGGTCTCGGTCTTTCTTTGCTTCTTCAATCATTATCAGCAACAAGACATGCACAGTGGTCCTGATCCACATGCCTCGCTACCAGAAAATGCCTCATTAGTGGTCCCCTGGTCCCTCTGCCATGGAAAGCCAAACACCCGACAATTTGTGGCAGGAAACGATGCAAAACGATCTCCAGCAGCCTCACACAAGTGGTCACATGCAACAGAAGATGACAAAAACAAAAATGTGAAAGAATTTTCGATTTTAATCATTTTTTATTGTAAATGGGGTTCTATAAAATCCCAACGGCGATTGTAAAAAGGGTCCCCTGGGATCCCAAAAAAAAAAAAACAGGAACCAGAGTATATAACAACCAGAAAAGGGGAAGGAAAATTTCATTTTTTGGGGGAATTTTTTAATCAGGTATTACACCCACATAGAACATTTGTAAAAAGACTGGACCCTCATTTTTACGTGAAGGAAATATAAAGCAAATATGCTTTTTTAGGTATCATCCATCTTTCTTTCGATTTTCAGTGTGCTGTGTATGTGCTTTGGTTTTGAAATAAATAGAAAATAAAGTGAGAGGGTTGGGTTACCTGAGTTGTGCGAACACCGGTGGAGTCTCATCGGCTATGTCTCATAGACGTTTGGGGTTCTATCGTCTGAGATAAGAGGTCGGGTTAGTCTTAGTAAACCAAACCAGTTCGAAACAAAATCGAAAAATTGAAAAAGAAGAGTGTTTGAGCTCCGTTACCTTAGTCAATTGAGTCCTCGCCAGAGTCAAGGTAGTCGTTTGGTCTATCCATCACTTTAGGGGTTTTTGCATATAAGTTTAAAAGGATCTGTTGGGGGCAATCTGGTTACTCTCGGGTTGAGATATAAGGAGATGGTAGAGGAATCGCTGTCGTGAGCTTCGTTGGAGAAGGGTTGTCGAGGCGTCGTTTCATTTTAGGGGGTTCAGACGAGGCTAAATAGGGAGGTTACAGGAGGAAACAATGGTTTTTGGGTCGATTTGGGTAGCCAGTTAAGATCTCCAGTCAGATTTAGGGCTGATTTGATGTGGAGATGGCCATCAGATAGTAGGGGCCTGTGAGACTAGATACATATGAAGCTCTCAGTCGGGGAGAAGGGAGAGTTTGAGAACTCTCAAAAAAGAAATGACTGAGAGAGTGATTAGATTAGTAACCCTAATCAAAATTAGGAATTTGTATAGGTTATTTAGGGGAAATTTTGTTTAAGCCCTTGAACTCTTGTCGCATATTTGTATTTTAGTCATCAAAATTTTAGGGTAAAATTTTTATTTGGTCCCTCAATTTTTAGCGCTTATTTTCATTTTGGTTGTATGTAATGTTATTTTCACATTTATTTCAATAATAACGTATTGATTTTGTAATTTTACACTTTGTAGTTGTTAATAAATTTTAGGTTTATAAAAATGAACAATTAGGCTCTAGTCATTCTAATTTAGGCGTATTTTCATATTCTGGTCCCTGTCATATTTCTAATTATTTTATGATTAATTTTGATTTATGCTAATTTGGTCACCATGCTAACTTGTTTCATTGTATTAAAATTAGGTCCTGTTTCATTGTATTAAAATTTGGTCACCATATTTTCATTTAAATTTTTATGTTTTAATTTAGATCTCTGATTTGCTGTTTTTGTTATAGTTTACTCCTTAGATTAATTATATTATTGACTAACCTTTTTACTAATTAGTTTTTTTCTAAAATTTTATTCATGTTTTAATTAAATTTGTATTTTTGATTTTAGCATATTTAGATTACTTAATCTTTTAGATTTAGTCTTTACATTTAGATTTCTTTTAATTTAGTTTCTTGTTAGGTAGTTGCCTTATTTAATTAGTTGCTTATATTTTGTTTTGCATGTTGATATGTTTACATACGTGCGAGTATACAAATGATTTATTTATGAATCACATGACATCACTTTTGCATGGTATGTATGATCTACTCATAAGCATAACTTGATTTAATTCAAATATTTGGATTAAGGTAATACCCTTTCATTATAAAGTTGTTGTGAAGTGATTGTCTTCACTTATAAGAAAGTTACTTCTGATGATTTTAAAATGAAAGTGTATCCTGTCAAGTGAAATCCTAAAACTTGACCACACCTAAAGTTTAGGAACGATAGAAAAAGAATTGTTCGTTTATTTAAATTCCTCGAGAAAAGATCGTTAGAACTTATAAAAGGTATGATCTCGATGTCTTTAAATAATCAAACATCCTTCTTCTTTTTAAAAAGATTAGAAATTTTTAATATAATTTGTCTACTTTATTCCATCATCTTTCATGCATTCGAATTGGTAACGAATTTTTGAAAGGAACTGAATATTTCTTTATTTCGATTGGAGTATGAATCGATTGACTCAAGGTATGAGAGGTCGTTTCTTCTCGATAGGGAATAATTAGATATTATTATGTTTCATTCTAAAATTCAAAAATATTATTTGAATGGATCTGAAACTAAATTTGAACTTGTAGATTTCATTGAAAATACAATTAATTAATCGATTAGGTACCGATTTAGGGCGTTGTGGGGGTGCTAATCATTCCCCACGCGTAATCGACTCCCGAACTCAATTTTTTAGTACACAGACCTTAAAATGTTATTTTAATAATTTTTAAAATTTAAATATTATTAAAATGATGAAACATTTTGGGTGCCCAATCACACCCTAATCAAAGATCGGTGACGACTCCTCGAACTAATTTTTAATTTTTTTGTAAGAGAGAATCTCAAATTATTCGAGATGAGATTTTTAAAATCACATTCTTTAATTAAAAATTAAATTTGTTTTTTTAATCAAAAAATTATTTCGACAGTTTGGCGACTCCGTTAGGGACCTTTTTTAGAGAGTCAACCCGATAGTCAATTAGTTAATTGTCTTTGCATTGAAAATTATAATTTCGTCTTAATTTAACTTTTGATCCTTTGTGTGGTTTAAATAAATTTTTGTTTGCAATTTGATTAACCACTAAATAGTTGGACTGATTTGTTTACTAATGTTTTCAGATTAAATATGTCTTAAAGGGATTCAAGAAATGTGTTTTTTGTGTTGTGTGATTGTGTGTTTTTTCCGCTTTTCCTCACACATTGTGCACTTAAATTATCATAAAATAAGCTAAAACTCCGCTCCTTCCTATTTAAGTAGGAGTGAGAAACTACTCCCTCGTGTTGTTTTCACCTCCGTATGGGATAGTGGATTGCTCATGGGGCTCACGCCTTATGGTCCTCATGATACTTTTCACCTTCGTATGGACACAAGGAGGTGTGTTCTCTCGAATTGAATCCGAAAGCCTGTGATGGGCCAAGATTGACGGTCTGGCAGCCCAAGGGGGCACCACCAACAACATTTTGAGAACCTTTTACTTTAGAGCCTAACCCAATAAATAGTGAACCTAGAACCCGAACCTAGGAAAAGCCTAACTAAAGCATTAAGAATCCCATTAGGAGAGCCCACAAGGAAAAACTTTCTAAGCATCTTTTAATTTTTTTGGTATAATTTTACTTTCCTAATAAATGTATGAGAATTATAAATCATTCTCTTAGGTTTATTTCCCCCTTGAATAAGCATGTGATCTAAATGACATGGGGGTAGAAAACATGTTTGGGTAGAACTGTTATAAAAATATGTCAGGGTAGATACCATGTTGGGTAGGATCTTTTCTTCTCGTAAATATTTTTTTGATTTTTTGGCTGAGTGGTACTAACAATTTCTTTTGTTTTATCTTATTTTTCTATGTCTTTTGTTTGTATTTGCATTTTCACATCATAACCAAACAAGGTGTTAATTCGCAAGTGATTGACCAAATTAGAAGGTTTTCATATCGACATAAGAGTTTCACAACTAGGTAGTCAAATCCGTAAGGGCAACGACTTACAAACAAAGTTGATCGACGAAAGAAGAGCTCAAAGTTGATTGGAGACTCTTATTAATTGAACAAAGATTGAGACGGTACCAAATAGTTAGATACTAGTTGAGCCAAGAATGAGAAGATCCTTCACGAGATATCAAGGTCGCTTTCCTCTTAGAGAATCCCATAAAAATGGAGGTCTAGAGATCCAACAATCACAGTAGGTGAATTAAAACGAAGATATGAGGATTAACACTTTGAGAATTCCAACAAAGACTATGAAGAAAATATGAAATCATGAAAAAGGCCTAGATCAAGTAAATGAAGAAAATAAAACTCGTCTATCTAGTGTAAGGAGAACTTATGGTCTGATGAAGGTTGTTCTATGGTGGTCGCTTTTAGAATCAACACCTTGTGCATTTGTATTATTGTTTTTCATTAGCATATTAATTAATTTATTTTTATATTATTTCTTTTATAATAATTCTTGTCATTTTGTTATCTTATTTGTACTAAATTGTTTTTATGTTGCTTTTCTTTTTGCTTGCATCCATGATCATGACATAATCAAAAGGTGTTGATTTGTGAATGGTCATGAGAGTAAAAGGTTTTCATGACGGACAAAGGGTTTCATGATCAAGTAGATAATAACATAGCAAGGGAGTGGTATCTTGAGGAAGCTCCAAGAATAGTGGAGAGCTATGCACCCAAAGATCGTATGTCCGACGAAGAGCAAAATGAGATAAGAGTGATGAGAGAGCAAATGTCCAAGATAATGGATAGAATAATTGCTTTGGCCAAAGGAAAATAGACTTCTGCAAAAGAAAAGAAAAAGCTCGATGAAAATAATCTTGCGGTGTCAAATACACAAGGGACTACTTTAAAACAAGTTGATCCTAGCTAATCTGAGAAATCACGAACAATCACCATTCATATCAACAAGATGTCTAGAGATACCAAAGAAACAGTGACAAATGTAAAAGTTCAGAATATGAAAAGAAGCCATGCGATCAGAACTCGTTGGTATTTGAGAGTCTACTCCCAACGTCAAGGGAAATAAACCTGAAGACTCCATTTCAATCCAAGCCGAGAGGCGACTCTCATTTTGATTCTATCCCTATATCATATAAAGAGTTGTATGATAAGATTTTAGAAGCCCGAGAGGTGGCCCTGCATTATGTGAAACCTTGGCAACCTCCATAACTAAATTCGTATGACGCCAATGTTCGTTGTGAATATCATGTCGGAGCTCAAAACATTCAATTGAGAATTGCACCGCCTTCAAGCATCGAGTCCAACATCTTTTAGATCATGGAATATTGGAGTTTGAGATGAAAGGTCGACCTAGTTTGGTAACTAATTGTCCTGTTAAGATGGAGCCAAAAGTGTTCAAAGGTAAGGGTATCAGTGGGGGTATCTAAGAGGAAGAATGTTTGCTAAAATACGAAGTTCAAGTGTTTCGTTTGAGGATTAAAAGTGATAAACTGAATAGAGAGATGGAAGCCATGGGTGATGGTTTTCATAGGATCAATCAAGCCATTAAAAAATGCTAGTATATGAAATGATCCAAAGGAGTGGGCAAAAGGGGTCACTAAACTAAAAAATGATGTTGAACAATGGAGAAACAATTGCAAGGTGCACGAAGGTCAAGCCAAGAAGTTCTCTTATGATTTAAAAATTATAGAAAAAGGCGTAATATAGTCGTTAATGATTTGAGAAGATGTCAAGCCGAAAATCAAATGTTGAATATGTTCATAGACAATATGGAAGCTTTATATCAGTGCCACAAGCGTGAGAATGATGCTGAGCTAGAAACCACTAGAGCCAAGAACAAGAAATTGATGAAGCTTGTAGATGATCATGGAGATCTTGTACTAGAACTTCGTAACCACAAAGACTTTCTTACAAGGAAAAATGGACAATAGTGTCTACAACTCCTAGAGTTGACACAAAATATTGAGGAAAAAGATAAAATCATGAAAGAAACTATTACCCAAGCAAGCAATATGGACCACAAATTGGTTGATTTAGCTGGCTTTGCAAAAGAATTGAAACAAATTGACAACTCAACACCAGGGTATGAGTGGAATTCAACTTGGCTTTTCAGAGAGATAGAGAAGTTAAAAGTTAAAGCTATCCCTTATATGTAAAGTTTGTTGATGTATCAAAACCTTTGTGTTCAATGAAAGTTATTTTAAGATGGTCACTCTGGAATGACACCTTTTGCATACATGCATTTGCATTACAATTGTTTATTTAATCATTTTACATGCTTTAATTATGAAAACATG